ATATATAGATAAATCTCTCACACATGTGTGCATATGTCAGCCCCGTCTCATGGACTATTGATCCTGATATATAGATAAATCTCTCACACATGTGTGCATATGTCAGCCCCGTCTCATGGACTATTGATCCTGATATATAGATAAACCTCTCACACATGTGTGCATATGTCAGCCCCGTCTCATGGACTATTGATCCTGAGATTGAAGTTACTTGAGGTGCCTCTACAAGGCAGAGGACATCGTTGCAGAATAAAGTTAGTTGCGTATCCTTTACAGGACGTTGCAGAACCAACTCGCTCATTTTTTGCAGTTGTGGTTTTTCTAGGCAGCTTTACATCCAGTAGTTTGCCATTGCTTTCTGCGCGTTCGGCTTCTCGATACTACTGTCGAAACCAGCGCAAGACCCGCAGCTGGGATCGAACCCGGCATCACGGCATTACGAAGCTCGTGCGCAACGCCTAAGCCACAACACGCCGACTGCAGAATAAACCGAATCGTTATCAGCTGTTTGGTGTTTCCTCAACGTTTGTCCTTGTTCGGTGTTTCCTCAACGTTTGTCCCTGTTCAGTGTTTTCTCAGCGTTTGTCAATGTTCAGTGTTTCCTAAGTTTGTCTCCCTTTTCAATGTTTCCTGAACGTTTGACCCTGTTCAGTGTTTTCTCAGCGTTTGTCAATGTTCAGTGTTTCCTAAGTTTGTCTCCCTTTTCAATGTTTCCTGAACGTTTGACCCTGTTCAGTGTTTCCTGAACGTTTGACCCTGTTCAGTGTTTCCTGAACGTTTGATCCTGTTCAGTGTTTCCTCAACGTTTGTCCCTGTTCAGTGTTTCCTGAACGTTTGACCCTGTTCAGTGTTTCCTCAACGTTTGTCCCTGTTTAGTGTTTCCTCAGCGTTTGTCGCTGTTCAGTGTTTCCTCGACGTTTGTCCTTGTTCAGTGTTTCCTCAGCGTTTGTCAATGTTCAGTGTTTCCTCAGCGTTTGTCAATGTTTCGTGTTTCCTCGACGTTTGTCCTTGTTCAGTGTTTTTTCAACGTTTGTCCCTGTCAGTGTTTCCTCAACGTTTGTCCCTGTCAGTGTTTTCTCAACGTTTGTCCCTGTCAGTGTTTCCTCAACGTTTGTCCCTTTTCAGTGTTTCCTCAACGTCTGTCCATGTTCAGTGTTTCCTCAACGTTTGTCCCTGTCAGTGTTTCCTCAATGTTTGTCCTTGTTTGGTGTTTCCTCAACGTTTGTCCCTGTCAGTGTTTTCTCAACGTTTGTCCCTGTCAGTGTTTCCTCAACGTTTGTCCCTGTCAGTGTTTCCTCAACGTCTGTCCATGTTCAGTGTTAACGTGTTACAGTATTCGAGAACGTGTCAGAGTAAGTCTGCATATGATTAGAGCCAAGAGAGTTATTGCAGCTGTGACGTCACCTACAGCCCCCAACCAAGACCGTCTTCATCTGACGGGCCATGCTGCTGACGCACCAAACCGGGCTAACGATATGTTAACGTTAACGTATCGTTGGTCCGGTTTGGTGATGTCAGCAGCAAGGCCCATCAGATGGAGACAGTCTTTCTCAACCGTGAATTCTGTTCCTGTGGCACTACTGTGTTACTGAACTCATTGTCTTTCGCGTTTCCTTTCTTTATCTTGCTATAATGTATCTTTTTTTTTTTTTTCAGTCTCCTCCCCCGAAATCTGTTTTTCCTTTTCTCTCTGTGTTGCTTCTGTCATTGTCTCTTGACCTGTTTCACTATATAGATCTTTATCGCTCCTCATCGGTTCTCACTATCCTTACCTCTCTCTTTTCCCTCTCTCTTTCCCCTTACTCTTCCTCTCTTCCCTCTCTTCTCTTTCATGCATCTCACTGTTGTTGTTGTTTTCTTTCATTCCCTTCATTCTAGAGTCTTGTGACTACGCGAGTTAGCCAAGTTTTTTGGCTTCAGATAACCATAGCGTGGACACTAAAAGATTTGAGACATCTTATCTGTTCTAGACAGTCGAGTAATTGGTTTCAGACAACTATAGTGTGGACATTATATAAGATATCAGACATCTTGTCTGTTCTAGACAGTCGAGTTATTGGTTTCAGACAACTATAGTGTGGACATTATATAAGATATGGGCCCGGCTTTCTAGCGAAGTTGGTTAAACCTGACTTTCGCGGCGGCGGGGTGACGAACTCCTTGTGGTCCTGGTTCACTCCCGGGGGTAGGCAGAAAAGCCACATTTCTCCCAGATTAACGGTACCTATAATGGAATCAAAGCCGAAGGGTTGCGATATCCATTGTACCGAGCCAAAGGGTTTACAACTCATGGTTTCTGGATACGTTAAAAAAATATATATATAAGATATGAGACATCTTGTCTGTTCTAGACAGTCGAGTTATTGGTTTCAGACAACCATAGTGTGGACATTATATAAGATATGAGACATCTTGTCTGTTCTAGACAGTCGAGCTATTGGTTTCAGATAACCATAGTGTGGACATTATATAAGATATGAGACATCTTGTCTGTTCTAGACAGTCGAGTTATTGGTTTCAGACAACTATAGTGTGGACATTATATAAGATATGAGACATCTTGTCTGTTCTAGACAGTCGAGTTATTGGTTTCAGACAACTTTAGTGTGGACATTATATAAGATATGAGACATCTTGTCTGTTCTAGACAGTCGAGTTATTGGTTTCAGACAACTATAGTGTGGACATTATATAAGGTATTAGACATCTTATCTATCCTAGACGACCAAGTTATTGGTTTTAGGCAAACATAGTGTGAACTTTATAAGATGTGAGACATCTTGTCTGTCCTAGACGACTAAGTTATTGGTTTCAGAAAACCATAGTGTGGACATTATGTAAGATATGAGACATCTTGTCTGTCCTAAACAGTCGAGTTATTGGCATCAGATAACCATAGTGTGGACATTATGTAAGATATGAGACATCTTGTCTGTCCTAGAGGACCAAGTTATGTGGGGTAAGATGGCAGAAATCGTTTTCATTGCTTCAAGACATAGACCCGTTAACTGGTAGATCTCCACCTGTAAAAGAAACAAATGTGTGGCCTGTCATCACCAGGCAACAGGCAGAGCTGCAGGTGATCCCTGGGATATCGCACTTCAGTGCCAGGACCCTCTAGAGATGGCCCTGGCCCGGCCGGCCGAGATTATCGCCGAGATAACGTCACTTTGACAAACGTCGAGCCCTATAGCAGACGAGATCTGCATGGTTGATATCTGTGGGGTCATCAGGGAGCATGATAGTGTTGTCTGGTGTTGACATGGAACATAAGTGGCCGTAAATGATTGTTTCATCTGCCGTCGGTGAACCGGTTCGGGCGGTCTTACACTTATTATTCAAAAGAGTAGGTGCAGTAGGTAACGAGACAGCTTTTAAAACGGCCATGTGTGGTTGTCACACGAGTTGTTTCTGCAGCTCCCCGTGTGGGTTCCGGGGCCCTGTTATGGGGAAAACAAGAGTAGACCCACTGCCTACCTAAAAGCATGTCGTAAGAGTCGACTAATTAGGAGCTTCCTTCGAAGTCGGAGTGCATCTGCCAGAGAGGCAAGTAACCAGCAGTCTGCATACAAATGTGTCAGATCTGAAAATCAGATGCACACGCAACACTCAGATTCTGGAACAGGACTGCAGTCCAAAAGTGGATGAACAACCAGAACTTTCTGCCATATTTTACAGCTAGTGAATGCGAAGAAGTCAAGTTGCTGCAGCAGCGGTAGGAATTTTAGATGTGGTTTTTTTAAAAGCAGTTAGCATGTAAGTCTGTAGTTAAAACATTGGTTATATGGAGTGCATTATAGCTTTCGTCGAAGAAGACTGGCGTTCCTGTGGGAAATGGACTGAAACATGAACAGCAACAGTTTAACTAGAAGTAAACACACGGGGAAACCAGTCTGCGTAGATGGGGCGCGCCGTGTCCCTGACCTGACACTGTACTGTACACCATAGCGGCCGTACGCCCCGACTGGAGGAGAATTGTGTGGCACGGATTACATAGCTGGTAGTGTTTCATCATCGCTGGGTCATAACTCTTCCTGCTCAGTTGTCTGCCCTTGTTCGGATCAGGTGTCGCGCAGCTCTTGTTTTGTGACATTTGTTGTTGTTGCTGTTGTTGTTGCTACTTTTGATTTTGTTGTTGCTGCTGCCTGTGTTGTTATTGCTGTTGTAGTTTTTGACCAACACATCAAAGTAAAAAAGTGAAATAAAGATCCCCTTTTATGCCTCAGGCGCATCGGGCATACGGGAAGAGCATCCCATATTTTTACAGACTAATTGGCACTAGGTGTGTAATGCGGTCAGTTATACGCCGACCGTCTTTACTTCCCCAGGACATACATCCCGGTACCCTTTTAGGCTGGGTTGACTTGCGACGCCTCTTATCATCATAAAAACCCACGCAGCCAGCAGTGGGTTTAGATCGCGGTACGTTGGAATTACGAGTTGGACTCGCAACGCATAAGCCACCACCAACACAATACCTTCTCCCTGAATGTGATCATGTTGCTGCTGCTGCTGCTGTTGTTGCTGCTGGTCCGTTAAAGTCCAGAGGATCGATTTCACTGCACCGGGGTTTATCCCACATGGCTCGGTCCGTCTCCACAGTACGACTAGCACCCTGCCGTAGCTCCGGCAACGATCGCCATGGAAACTGGTCCGTAAAAAGAAGTTTACCTATGTGTGCAGGGGTGACAGATGTCTGAGATTTGCCTGTGTGTACTTGCAGGTGTTGGTGCAATCATTTACCTGTGTGTACGTGTGTACTTGCAGGTGTTGATGCAATAATTTACCTGTGTGTACTTGCAGTTGTTGGTGCAATCATTTACCTGTGTGTACGTGTGTACTTGCAGGTGTTGATGCTATAATTAACCTGTGTGTACTTGCAGGTGTTGATGCAATAATTTACAGGTGTGTACTTTCAGATGTTGGAGCAGTAGTTCCCTTTTTGTATGCGTGCACGTGTTGGTGCAATAACTCACCTGTATATGTGTGTGTACTTACAGGTGTGACAAGTGCAACATGAACGTACCTCACCGAGTGCTGACCCCTGAGGACCCGCTGAAGTCCATGTCAAGGTCATTGGAAAGTGGCGAGCATGCCGGGGATTATTTGGCCAGCGCACACTCCAGTTGTTCAGATGTGAGTACATCCACATGTCTGTATGTATGTGTGCGTGTGTCCAGCTTTTCAGAAATGAGTTGGCCGAGGACTCCTTTTCCCTCTGTATCAAACAGACACCCTGTTACAATTATTTGGGTTGTTAGGAAGAGCGTCTCTGACTTTGGCACACAACACATGCACAATTGGCTAAAGTTCTCACAGGAGCTTAATGAGACACTCGGTGCAACAGTTTACATTGGAATGTCTGCCTTCTGAACCACAGCCGGACCCGCCCAACACATCAGTGGTGTAGATTGATCTGTTTCACAGCGTTAGTTCGCCCACTGTGCTGAGATGTCGCCGTGCCATCTATAGAAGGTTACTGAAACACACAGCTAAGGGTCCATTTCACGTAAAAGTGATCATTCCTTTTGTAATTGCTGGAGGTTCTGTTGGAGTCAGATAACTAGAATGTTAGCTAGAAGTAATTATGTTTGTGTATTAACATTTGGGTTAGTTTTACGTTAGTCTCCCCAGAGAAAGTAGGTCACGTTTCATAGACTTTTTTTTTTTTTTTGGGCTGGTCTTCTTTCCTGCAGGTTACGGGTATGCCACTCTATTGTTTGATTTCTAGGCTCTTGTATTTACGTTTTTCTTCCGAGAAAGAGATTGCATGTGACATAGGTTGCAGTGCCCTCTATGGGGTGTTGTGTGTTAGACCCAGTTTGTCTATGTTTTGGAAGTGTTAAAAGCGCTGGCGTGCTGAAATATACAACATGCGATATTAGCGGTATTGCCGAAAACCCCCGTAACCTTGTGCCAAGGACACGTGGCTCAAGGTCGACCAATCAGAAGTGAGCTTGTGAGTAGCGCTGAGTAAATAAGGAGACCAAGGTTAGTTTTACCTAACATTTGTATCCATACATATAATCCGGCAGTGTACTAGTTAGTGGTCGATGACTGTATACATTCTAGACAACTGCTACAGTTTATGGGCTGTTGCTTGTAATTACCCTGTCACAGGCTGCCAGTAGAATACACAGGGTCTTGTACAGACAGTGTCTGCGATCTTTCGTAGATATCGCTACCCACCTTCCCACACGATAGACACGGGGGCTGAGTGGTCTCGGGGCCTGGCGTCCGCTTTGAGTGCTGGAGGTCCCGGGTTCAGACCCCGGTGAAGGCTGGTATTTTTCACGTGGATTTCTAATAATTTCCCCTGATCTTTGGTTAGTAACACTGCCTTCTCTAATAGAGAAGTCCGCCGTTAGTAAGATCGGACGGCCGTGTGTATTGTTCCGCACGTAAAAAAAAAAAAAACCTTTGGCAGTTGGAAATCAAAAAGAATAGCCTAACGGCGCTTCCAGGGCAGAATTTGGAGTTAAAATTCTACCCCAAGAAATTCAGGATCCTCGCCGGTGCTTTGGAGCTGTGCACTACGCTAAGATTCTTCGGACTCATGCTTGAGTTAGAAGTAGAACGGGGCACTTATGGGTTACTACCCTTGTACCTAGATGTTGTTCTGTTGTTTAAACTAAGCTGGACTTGTATCATGTAGTCAGTTTGAGCAAAGTGGTTATCTGAAAGAGACAGGGCTCTTTGTCAATCCTCTTCTTTTTTCGACTCAGACCTCCACAATGTTGTCCGGAATTAACGCAGGCGGCAGTTGACTCGACCCACTCCCCCTCCTCTTCCTGCCCCATCCAGGGGCTCTGTCTACAGTTAGTATTGATCTCTGATGACCATTTGCGATGCACTGTGTTTCCTGGGTCGCGCATAGGTTAGTTGCGTATCCTTTACAGGACGTTGCAGAACCAACTCGAGCAGCCCCTGGCTGTTGTGTGGTTTCTCTAGCCAAATTTACCTCCAGTAGTTTGCCATTGCTATTGGACGGTCGGCTTCTTGATACCACTGTCGAAACCAACGCAAGGCCCATGACCCGCAGTTGGGATCTAGCCCTGCACCCTGGCTTTACGAAGCATTCGCATCGACTTAGCCACAGAGCCGACATGGGTACGTATTTGAGATGTCCCAGCGAGACATTCGATAGTGAACTTGATTGGCTGGTCATTGTTATGTTTGTGAGCTGTAGCCGTCGTGACACAGACATTGAACTGTTGCGGTGGATACAGCCTAGCCTAGATCAAGCATGACAAACTGAGGGTTCTGCGGGCTTCATTGGGGTCACGTGTGTGTTGTCTGTCACCAAGACAACAAACGGCAACTGATTCATTTAATAAAAAAAATTGTATTTCTGAATGTTTTCTTTGTGCCGGCCGCAGGTGTGTTTTGCACAGGGCCGCATGCGTCTCACAGGCCGTAAGTTTGACATGCTTGTTTGAGAACCATTGAGCTTGTAATTCTGTGGTGACTCACACTCGGAGCTGCACACATCCCTCTATGTGTTGTTTACTTTCTATGTGCCCTTCTTCCGTGGTGCAAGATCCCATTCATTACACAGTAGTCACTGGGAGGTCTACAGGCACTGACAGAATCAGGGGGCAATAAATACTGAATACATTTGTATCTTCTTCGTACTTCCAGTGTCGTTTCAGATATGAATGATGTGTCCTTGGTGACAGTCAGACGGTGACTGAGGCTGATTGATAATATGACTGGACCTTAGTCCTAATCTCCTTCCCTGTCACAGCTGTTTGTGCAGAATACCCAGGCCACACAACCAGTTGATGGAATCAAAACAGCCGTCTAGTCTGTGGGCGCTTGTGTTTGTTGAGACGAGTCAGTGGTGATTGTGTGGCAGGTTTAGAGATGCAGGCTCAGCATCCACAAGATCGGACTCCTCTCTATGTCTGGGTTCATTGCATTCTTTATTTTACCGTATTCTTTATGGACATTTTATGTCTGACTGTTTGATCCTTCCTCCTTCCCTCCGCTTTTTCCTAATTTTAGTATTTTAATGGCGTTGTTGGTACTTTTGTTTTAATTCACCGCAAACAGAGGTAATCTGGAAGTTCTCGGGATAGTCCAAACACATTATGTGATATCGCGGTGTTTTGTGTGTGTGTGTGTGTGTGTGTGTGTGTGTGTGTGTGTGTGTGTGTGTGTGTGTGTGTGTGTGTGCGATTTTTACGGTTTGCTTTATATCAAATGTATTTTGGTAACCCTAAACACTAATGTTAAGCCCCTTCAACCCTAATCCTAGCTCGTGCTAAATTTATAAATGTGTTGTTGTTTATATATATATATATATATATATATATATATATATATATATATATATATATATATATCCTAAATATAGCTATCATGTTTGTTTGGAGTGATTTAGAATTTGAGTACCGCCATTGTTTTCTCCGTTTTTATAGTTTTAATTTCATATTTGTATTGCTTAACCTTCTTTGTATCCTTTAAATGTATGTCTCTCCTCATTCTCTGCCTCTCACCAGTTGCTATCTTTTCTTTATATGTGTGTCATTTGAACTGGAGCACTGGTGTCCAGTTCAGCGTCACTAGCCTGCACTGACAACCGCCCTGTGACATATACTTTAGACATCTTTTGTTGGTCTTCAGTGAACAGCTCCCTGAAGATGACCCAAACATGGTCTGTGACATTGCTAGTTTTGCTGGTGGTGAGCCACCAAGCACACAGCTAACAGTTGATGGTCTATTTCGGTAGAGACATGCCTGGAGATTAAAGGCTGTCGCGCCTCGATCAGACCCGCTGATTGTCTGTGCAAATATTGTCTTTAGACCGATTCGGGCGTTCAAAGTTGGCCGTTCATTGGTGCCTCTTTATGTCACCTGGTGGGCGCCCATTTTTCTTTTTAAGGCAGGTGTGCGGGCCAGGTATGTCATGTGACCAACTTGGTGTCTTAGGCAGTTGTGGTGGGTGTCGTGACGATGTCAGTAGCAGTGTAGCAAGCGGCGCGCAACAGACATCATGTCTTGAGTTCAGGCACTCTGTGTTTTTCTGTTTCAAGGAGTGTAAAACGGCGCGAAACAGACAGCAAGCAAGTGTCGGGCTCAAGCGCTGTGAACGTGTTTTCTGTTTGGAGGATCGGCAGACGTTGTCAACTGTAGTGTTTCTTTCTTTCATCGGTGGATTTGTGGCCTTGGCTCCGCTGGATGTACCAACTCTATTGTGGTGTATGTACATTCGTACAAACTTGCGTGCGCGTATATGCTTGTGTGAATACCATCTGTAGTTGAATTAGGATGTCCACGAGTGATTGATGCGTGTAGCAGCTGTGGTAGAAGATCCATAAATGCTTGATTGGTACTTTAATTGGATACGACCACATCTCCTGGGCTTTGAGATTTTGTAGGGATTCCTAGGGATTCCTAGCGGGTTCACTGGACAGTAACATATTGGGGGCGGGGAGGGGGTGTTAGGGTTAGGGCTAGTGTTGAGTTAATAGCGACTACTACTTAGCCTAATACTAATCCCCTTATACTGTGGGACGTTCTGGGGATTTTCCTACCAAATTTCGAAGCCGGCGAGATGTAGTCGTATCAAATTAAAGTACCGTTTGATTTATATATTAAGGTAAAAGGCATTGTTTTTGCGTTTAGCAATATAAACGTGCTAGTCTCATATATTAAAGATCAGTCTACACTGTATGGGTTTTGTGGCGAACATCACGCCGACCATCTTTACTTCCCATGCCAATACTTGGTACCCATTTGAGGCTGGGTCAACCTGGTAGCTAAGTGATTCACTCATGTCTCCCGTTGTCGTTTCGTCTATTTACCTTTTGCATCGTGTCGTATACGGGAAGTTTTCTTCCATCGTGCAGTGCACAAGTACTCTATTGCCATATTTTTGCATGCTGGCGCGCGCGCGCGCACACTCACAATCGAGGTGGGGAAGGGGGATGGAGCGAGGCAGGGGTGATCATGATTGTGAAGCTGACGCGGGCAACTGGTGACTGGGAAGAAGTTAGACATGTAGCGCGGCCAGCACACGCATCTCTACGCTCATGATTCCGTGTAAAGATAGCATGTGTGATGTGATTCTGTTGCTTTTTGTCAGTGATGGTGAGACGCCCACTATTTGACCTGCTGGTTTCTCAGTTTGG